TTCCAATAGACCCTCAACTCAAGGAGAGATGAAAAGGAAGCAGTAACAAGATAATAAGCTAAACAGAGTGAAAGAAACAATCAGGTAGTACTAGAGGTCTAAGAATAAGCAAACTTAAAAAATATACTAATACCATGATACGAAAAAACAAAATAAGCTCAGCCTACTAAATAAGCTAAAGATGTGTCATGTCCCAACTAATTGCCTCTTCCCATGACTTCAATGAGATCCCTTTATGTATCCTTTCCCCAGCAATTGATCTTATCTAGTCTCACTTCACCATTCTCTTTTTCTCCGCTTATAAATATCATATTGGTACCAGCGTCATCTCCATCATCTCCTTGTGACCCATACATTAACAATGCACTTATCTATTCCTTTTCTGTCAATCATCCACACTCGATCACATCATTATACAAAAATGGGTAAAGCAAGCTAGCAGTTGTGCATTCCCGATTACAATGTTGCATCTTTAATATTATAATTGAAAAGGTTAAAAGACTTTTAGATGAGTGACCAGAACTCACCCATGGAGGATTTTCCAGATTTATTCTCTTTCTGTGACAACCCTGAAGCATCTATTGCTGAGACTTGGACTCACCAAGGATGGAATATCATCTTTAGGAGGCTTCTAAATGACTGGGAGGTTGAGAGAGTGGCCAGCTTATTGCAAAGATTGGATGGTTTCTCTGGTTTAAATACCAGCCTGATACAATCAGAAGGAGGCATGATATGGATGAAAAATTTTCAGCTGGAAGATTGTACAGAAGAAACCTGTCCTCACAACCTGGGAGCATCTCTGGACCTTGGAAACAAGTATGAAATTTAATATCCCTACCAAGATCAAGTGTTTCACATGGCTGGTATGCAGAAGAGCATGCCTGACTCAGGAAAAACTGAAAAAGAGAGGTTTTCAGATTGTCTCTAGGTGTTTCTTTTGCAATGAAAAGGAAGAAACAAAGTAGTCATCTGTTTCTTCATTGTAGAGTGACTGCTCAGGTTTGGCATATGTTTCTCAATCTTATTCAAGAACCATGGATGATGCCTGAGCATACTGCAGATCTTCTGAGCTGTTGGATGAGGAGAGGTGGGAGTAAAAAGCAGAAATGGAGTCTAGTTTCTTCTTGCATATGGCGGTCAGTTTGGAAGGAAAGAAATAATAGTTGTTTTGAGAATATTATAATCCAATGCAGAAAGTAATAGAAAACTGCATTAATACTTTATATTTTTGGTGTGAAGAAGAGGGTATAGATGGGGTAGAACAGCTAGTAGATTTGCTAGGCTCTCTGTAATTATGATTACTTGCCGTGCAATTTCTTGATGGTTGCCAGCATACCCTCATTGCTGAGGAATACAACTTTATCCTTCTCAAAAAAAAAAAAGACTTCTAGATGAGTGCAATTACAATAGTCAATGGTACCATATACTGAACAGCAAGTTGAAGGACATAACAGTGCGATTTACCACAGAAAATTGAGTTTATTCTGCTGTTTTTCCTGGAGATGAATAGGCATATCCTTTGGTATTAGAAACTTATACTCAAGTCTCGTAAAAATGAAACTAGAATTTGGTAGATGAACTTGTAGATGGGTATCAGTGACTTTCTGTCCATGACAATAGACTTTTCAGAGTATTTTCTGTGAGGGTTTCTTTGTAGTTCCAATGTTATTTCTCTGTCATTTGGTTCATGAAGTGTCAAAAATCATGAGTGGGCTGACATCTTGTCTTTGCCAGAGCATGGTTTTCCTTGTTCCTATTTTGTGATTCCTTGGTTTTAGATTGTTGTCTGTGTATTCTACATATTTACTACATTTGTATTTGCAGGACTAGTTGCGCGTCAGCGAAAAGCAGAATTGCAGCGGTTGAATGAACAGCTCCGCCAGATCAATGCTGCTCTACGAAGGCAAGCCAAGATTGAGTCTTATGCACCTAACTTAAGTTACGCTCCTGCTGGTGGCAGAGTTGCAGAAACTGAAGTAATTGTTGATCCAAGAAAGGAGGAATTAATATCTCACTTGAAAAATGGGAAGAAATTTCTTAGAAACCAAGCGCCAGATAAGGCGCAATTGGAGTTTAAAGCTGCTCTCGACCTTGCACAAAATTTAAAAGAACCTTTAAGGGAAAAGAAAGCAGCTCGGGGCTTAGGTATGTCCATCTTCTTATTCTTTTTTAAGCCTTCTATTTCTTCGTTGCACTTGGCCATGGAGAGGAAGGTCTAGAAATCGATTACAACAACAACGTGCCCTTATCTTTGTGGGGGTAGAGAGAGAGACTGTTTCCAATAGACCCTCAGCTCGAAAGAAGTGTAATCAAAGCAAGGCAAAAAAGAAAATTACGACAACAAATAGCAATAATAAGCAAAGCAAGTTAGGTAACATATAGTAGTAAAATAGGATAAGATACTACTAGAAATCAATTGCTGCATAGTGCATTAGTATATTTGTAAGTTTCAGTGTGTCAGCATTTATTCGAATTAGCCGTGCAGCCATTTCTCTTCATTGCTCTCACTAGGACTTACTCCCTCCGTTCACTTTTACTTGTCCACTTTAGCATATCGAGAGAAAAAACAATTTTTGTCCTGTTTTACCCTTAACTTAACTACTCATTCTGCAAATCATTTCCCAAGACCTATTGAAATGCGTATAATCATGGATATTATGGTAAAATATGCACTTCATTTATTGTTTCTTATAGGGGATGCAAAGTCCATTGTGGACAAGTAAAAGTGAACAAACAGAGTAGTAGAAATGATTAAATATAGTTCGAAGTACAATCAATTTAAAGGTACGAGCTCTTCACCTGCAAATGCTTTGTTCATCTGTGATATTGTCACTATTTGGTTCGTGTTGATAGTACATGTTGTCAGATAGTTTGTACACCTCCGACTCAATTTATGTGACACTTTTTCCGTTTTAGTTAGTACCAAAAAGAATGACATCTTTTGATATCCAGTAACAATTAACTTCAGCTTCCCATTTTAATGTTAATGAAATAATTTATCACCACAGAAATTATTAGTGGCTTATCTTAGACCACAAGTTTCAAAAGTCTTCTTTTTCTTCTTAAACTACGTGCCCAGTTAAACACCTTCATATAAATTGGGGCGAGGGAGTAATATATATGAAGTAGAATTATCCCACATCAGAAGACTATATATATTAAGAGACTTGGAGACCACATCCACAATGCTGTTCATTCCCTTATGTAACACATTGATATGCTATACTTGAGTTGAGGGTATTTCAGAAACGACCTCTCTACTTTCACAAGGTAGGGGTAAGGTCTGCGTACACTCTGACATCACCCTCCCTAGTCCCTAGACCACACTTGTGGGATTACATTGGGAATGTTGTTGTTTCTCTTGTGTAATACGATATACGAGTGTCAAAATTTTATGTTGGATTTTCCAGGGGCATCTTTACAACGGCAGGGCAAGTACCGGGAAGCTATTAAGTACCACTCGCTGGTTCTTGAATTATCGGCAAGACATGGAGAAGATTCAGGTAGCACAGAAGCTTATGGAGCAATAGCTGATTGTTACACTGAGCTTGGAGATTTGGAACAAGCTGCAAAATACTATGACCAATATATTGCAAGATTAGAAACTGATTAAGCTACTAGCATGAGGATTTTTTTTGTACCTATAAGTTATCTATTATGACTGTCAATCTTAGAGGAGACCATTCGAATGGTTGAATTGATGACTTCGTTTCGATCTCTTTGACTGAACATAAAATAAAATATTTTGTTTATTTTCATGCATTCAAAGTAGAATGCTTAGAGCCTGAGGCTACTCACTGTTTCTGAGGAATTTCTTTTTTGTTGTATAAACCATACTTTATTAATTTGTCCTTCCATTCTTACATTTGATCGTAATTCGTAAACTATGACTACTTTAGACTCTGCAATTATTCCTCGAGTAATCACTCCAGGTTCTGACAAGGCTAATGCATATAAGTAAAGGAGATGAACTTTATTAATTTTCTTACGTAATGGGTGCTTGAGAACACGTGCAAAAGTTTAAAAAAAAATTTAAGTCGGAAGTGTATAGAAACACTGCATTATCTGTTTAGGTACTCGGTTGGAATATATCATAGTTTTGAGCGTTCAAATAAAATTTAATGATAAATTTAGGATGCGCCAATTGATTTCACCTGAATAGAATTGTCTAACAAATAAAGTTGTGAGAGAATAATTAGAAGAAAAAAAAAAGACAAGCATGACAATTTCACTATAAGCATGTGGCTCAGCGCCCCGTCTTGCTTTTTTTGTTCATGCTTCAGATGATTTGGCTAATTCTATATACATCTATCTAAGTTTATGTTATTATATCTAAAAGTGTAAGGGTGAAACTCTATTTGGTGTCTATTCAAAGGTAACCGAATAGGTTGACTTTGAAAAGGCAACTAATGAACAGTTGAAGAATGAAAAAAACGTCCGCTCAAGGGATAAAAGGTTTACAAAGGAACCTGATCTAAGAGCGGTTTTCGATACAAAAACTACTCATTCTGTGGATTCGAGATAGAACTCCAATCCTTCCCTTCATAGGTTTGAGTTGTTGATTACACGGCACCGGAAAGCAACAATTCCTTCATTATTGATCTTATAAATGAGTGAAAAATGGTTTGTTCTATCGCTTGATATCATTGTTGTTGACATAAGAAGGCACATATGAAGGAGAGATATTAAAGAAAACAAAGATTTAATAGCATACCCTGTGTGAAGTATGGAAAGGGTAACAACAACATCATACTCGGTGTAATTTCATAAGTGAAATATGAAAAGGTAGGATGTATGTTGACCTTATCAATACCTTTGAGGGTACAGAAATTGTTTCCGATAAAAAGAAAAACAAAGATTTCTCGGAGCAGAGAATAATAAGAAAAAGCTACAAACTCAACTGGACTTCAATCACAGGTGAATATGATAGCCAAGTCTCCTGTTGGTTTAAACCTGAATACTGGAAGAGCCTTTGTCAAGGAGGGAAATGGTACCTCAACTATTATGTCAAAACCAGATTATCAACACAGGTTCACCAACATAATACACTTTTTCCAACCTTTGTTTTTCCTACGATAAAGCAAAGAACGTTTTTAACGGAGTTTAAGGTAGCATAAATAAAAACACAACAGGAGAAGAGCAAACGCAAAAGTCGTTTGCTCAATGTAAAACTGCTAACTGAACCAGTCTAATTCTTCCCTCTCTATGCTAAACTGAAACAATCATCTTTACTTGCTTTGTTTCTTCATCCCTTCGTCAGCAACCCACTTATCAAACTCAGTCAACAGACTATAATCAGCATTATCAACAACATTGCTCAGCTTCTTGGAAGAACCTTCAACGCCAGTGTCATCTTGGTTCACCTGTGGTGACTCAAGAACTGGTGTGGAATGGCTTGGTTGTGTCAACTGTTCTGGTGTGATGTGATCTGAAACCGCGCAATTATCTGGAGGAATCTGAGACTCAGATACGTCCATCTTTTCAACCTCTTCCACAGGATCTCCAAGTTCCTTCCCATCCTTAACATCACCAATAGCACCTTCTTTCACTTTCTCATTATTGTCCTTGTCACCAATAGAGTCCTTACCAGGCTCTTGCCCTTCACCACCATTGTCTTCACTATTACTAAACTCACTAGAATTGCTGTCGCCATGTCTGTCATGGGGGTCATTTCCTCCATCAAGCTGTTCAAAAAGAAGACAAAAAACATCGTTATTTTCAAGTATATGCCCAAAAAAAAGCATATAATGTAGGTGCAATCCAGTGAACAATAAAAGGATATCCTACTTTTCCCATTACCTCGGAAGCAGTCTTTTCTTTTTGTTTCTTCGACAGAGACTTGATGGCTTTAAAAACATTTGTGAAGGATGCCTTCATGCAGTCATTGAGCGATGCAAACTCCTTGTTGAGCTAGTGAAACATAAAAACAAGGTTAAACGACTGTTTATGTATGAAAATTCAAATGTTAAACTAGAATAGCCCTAAGTATCCATACCATCTGAATCTCACTCTTCAACTCCAACTGTCCGTCAGACAGTCTTTTCAACTCGGTGCTCCAGTCATCATTGTTCAAGGGGGGGTTACGTTTGGTTTTAAGCTGCTTCCTACTTGCTTGAGGAGGTGGATTGCTAGTGTCTTCATCGCTAAGATTAACATCTCCAGATACCACCTCATTAACCCTTTCATTTTCAGTTGATTCAGGTAAGCCAAGTGTTGTTTTCTCAAATTCTGTCGGAGATATATTCCTCAGCTTCAACTACATAAAAACCGTTAACATCAGTAGACAATAAATGTACATCGGTTCATAATTAATAATGTGTAATAAACTTTGGATACACCACAGATATACCCACCTAAAATCGTGTATAACAAAATGTTATACATAATATACTAGAAAAATAACCTAAACAAGAAAACATTAGCACGAGAAGAGACTAAAATGATTTATAATTAACATTGTTTGATAAACTTTGAATACACCATAGATATTCCATTCTTAGCTGGTATATTAATGGTAACTACATGTATAAACATTATCACATACTAGAAATATACCATTAGTACATATTTTTGAACTGAAAAGAAATCCTACATTAGTGAGTGCATGAATGGTATATCAAGTGTATATGTTAATACAATAAAATAAAAAAATGACTGTACTTTCCAATTACCTGATCCTGACTCAGCCTGAAAATTCCATCCAACAACTCCTTAAAACTTGGCTGCTTTGTAACTTTCCAACTAAGTATGCGGGGCACTTTGTCATCAACTCGGAAAGCAATCTTATTATTAACATAAGGGCAGCACTCATAAAACCAACACTGGAATGCCAATGGTAATCCACCAAGCCTGTACATCGAAGGCTTCCCCTGCAACTTCCCCTTCACAGACTTCAGTGTGGCTTTAAAGACAGCTTTCCCCCAAGGATATGTTTCATATGCACCACTGTCAACAAGCTCAAAATCATCCCTTGAGATATGTTTACGACTCACAGTGGAGAACAGAAATGTGTGAATGAAATACAGGACAGCAATCTTGACTGCATCCTCGTCAGATTTCCATCTCTTATTATGGAAGCATTCAATTAAGGATTGCTTAGGCACCCTGGTAAGTTCAGAAAAGTATGTATTCATTAACTGGCCCGTTCCATCGGAATCACAGCATTTATAAGCATCACCAGTACACTTTAACCCGGTGATAATCCCAAACTCAACAAGCCCAAATCGCAGACTGACATTTTTCATTGATATCCATAGCGCATCCTCTTCCTCCTCAACCACCTCCCTCAACAATAGGGAGTGTGCCAACTGATGTTGTACCACTACTGGAGGCAAATCAAGGAAATGTCCGAAACAGGTTTCCCTGAACATCTGAATCTGCTTAGCATCCAACTTCTCATTCAACAACTTAACAGCATCAACATTAGTTTGTGCCCCAACCCTTGGGTGGTAGCGCCTGACCGGTCGAGCACAAAACTCCCCAGGCTACATGACAATGATACAAATATATGTTAATATACAAGAAAGTTGTAAAATCTGTTGTACTGTTCATGTACAATTCAAAAGTACAACAAATAGTACATATAAACGGCTTTGTATCCCCTTTTTACACAGTATAATATGTAGGTTAAAGTAGTACACAGCCACTAAACATGTCTGCGTCTTTAATTTTGACACAAAAACTCATACTTGTTCGTATTGAACACTTCAAGTCTTAACAAATCTGTACCTATTAGACACACATTATACACACAAATATATTATTTATACAGTCCCTATTGTACTGTTGTGTGTGTCGAATTGCTACACATTTGTTAAGATTGAAGTGTTCAATCTTAACAAATGTGTAACAATCCGACACACACATCATAAACACACAACTCAGAAGGATTTGAATACACAAACTTCAATCTGAACAAATGTATACCTATTAGACACACACATCATATACACATATACACGCACAAACAACAACAACAACATACCAGCGTAATCCCACTACAAGGGGGACTAGGGAGGGTAGAGTTTCCGATCGAAGAACAGATACACACATCATATACACAAATATATCATCTATACACGCATCATATACACATATACACACACAAATAAATATACTCATCATATACATCATATGTATACACATGATACACAACAAAAAACAATAAAAAAAACTGAAAAGTACCTCCAAATCCACGACCAAAGCTTTCTCCATCGCTTCATCATCATTCCCCTTTCTCCTTTTGGGTAAAGCAACAACACCCGCATCAGCATTCTTCAACCGCTTCCTCTTTTTCGATTTTTTCACCTGATTTTTCCCATATACCCTCGATTTCTTACTGATAAAATTTAGGGCTTTTTTCAGAGGCTCCCTACGAACAGCACCCGTTTGAGATCGGGTTCTTCTTTCACTGGAAACTTGACCCTTTTTCACCACCGGCGATTTGGATTCCGGCAAATTCAAATTCGGAGAAGAATTCTCCACTTCCATTTCGACTTTTTGAGAAGATTGCATACTCAAAAGAGTCCAAACCGCTGAATTAAACCCTTGACTTGCCACTTTTTCTTCGATTACACAACTCACCCAAAACTTTTTTCGTGCAAATTCTCACAAAAAAAAACTCAAAAGATTGAATTTTTCGCCAATTTTCAGAGCCAATTTGAGAACAACAACATGAAGATTAACAATGGAGGAGGAAAGAGAGGGTTTTTGTAGGAAAACCTGATTTTTGAGGGCTTTTTTTCAGGGATGAAAGTCCAGTAAAAAAATAAAAATAAGATAAAAAAATAAAAAAATTAGCCCACGAAAATATGATTAGTGAATTATTACAATTTACATAATACTGTCCAAACAAATAATTTACATAGCCCAATAAAACTTTAAATCTAAAATAGCTAATATATGTTTATACTGAATTTCGTAAAGTTATTTTCTTTTATCTACTTTCTCGAGCTAGAATTCTTTTAGTTTTCGTTAAAATCTATGTTATATGATTTTTTTGTACATATACTATATTTTACATATTTGTACATTATTTATATATTGCGTATATATATAGTATAAAAAGTACTGTATATATTTTGTATAATCATATATAAATATAGTTATCTAGTGAAATTGATGGTTGATAGGTAAATTTTGTATTTGAAGAAATTCAATTTAGGTTTATCTTTTTTCTTGACCAAGGATAAGAGACAAGTGGATATATAAACTAAAGATTTTTTAGTGATTGTATAATGTACAGAGTTGAGTATATACGATTGGATGTTAATTAGATTTTATTCAGCAATCTAAAAAGAAAAGAAAGATAACGAGTTAAATGTTACTTACAGTCGCATATGAAAAATGAGAAAAGTCATCGTGTAATTCAAAGATCTGAAGACGGAAATTGATTTTTATCAAATTCTTCTTCAAAAAATGTGATATAACAGTTGGTTGCCGGAGTTCCATACTGAAACCGATGTCAAGTGATAGATCCATTCAAGATCTGTTTATTTATGTAACTTCTGTGCGGCGTAGATGAACACAACTTCACGAATTTGAGAATGAAATGAGTTTTGGGGATTTTGAATCTAGATGAGAAGAGGCGATTCAATAGGTGTAATTGGAAAATGAATGAAGGTTGTCGACCGACCATGATGATTTTCAATCAGTATTGTTAGAAAAATTTACAACGGCGACAATTTAGAATAGACAAGAAATGAGGAGAAGGGATTAGGGCTTTGAGACTATCTAAATGGTAATAAGTAATTGAGTCAAACCTAGTAAACTAGATGCTCGAATGAATATGAGTCTTATTTATATTGTTGTAGCTTGGTGGATTGATATTTTACTCTATTCATTATTTAACTTATTTTGATTTATTTAATTCATTTTATTTATAATGTGGAATAATTCGATTAAATAAGTGTTTTTATTGATCCCAAATACTATAATTAAAAAACTATTATTAATTTATTTAATATTAGATAAATTACAAGAAAATAATTATTTTTAAAAAAAAATTGATATGAGTTGGGTGAATTAAGATATTGTTGACGTATAACATCTTGACTTAGAAAGCCGCATAAAATCTTCAGGAAAAAAAAGAGAGAAATTAAAAGTTGAACGTAAAATGTCATATAAATACTTTTTTTTGTCCTATTTTCTAATCATAACTGGGCTTAGTTGGAAAATTCTCCTATCCCTGAAAATCGAAGTTTCCACCGGTTCCTGAACTAGCAACTACAATTTTACTTAGATAGGGCTTTCAACTAGTTTGTATATAAGTATTGCATGAAATACATATAAACATAGGAAAAAGGAAGAATAACAAGTGAATAGGTCAAATCGAATATGGACGGATCATAAATTAGATGAAACTCCCTTCATCCAACAAAAATTATTCACTATACTATTTTAGGATGTCCAATAATAACTGTTAACTTTATGAAATCAATGTATAATTTTACACTTAGTTCCTAATTTACCCCTATTATTTAATTATAATCATTTCTATATTACATTTTTCAAGACGTTATATTTATTATATTCAAAGGCAAACGATGATATAAATATAACATTACTCTTCTATTTATAGTTTATTAAGAAATGTGCAAAGTTAATAATGAACAAATATTATTGGACAAAGGAAGTAACATATAAAATACTTAACCCGCTCATATTTAGTGCAAATAAAAAATGAGTTAGCCAACGAATAATATGGATCGACTGCATCTAAAATAAGGCATGAGTATCTTTTCTTCAATTTGTTTCTTCCTTTTCTTTCTTTCTTTTTTTCATTTCTCTTCGGAGAATCTTAATAGCTTAATTGATTGATTACATGAACTTCTATTTTCTCCCAATTTTAAAAAATAATGCTTCTTAGCTTTTGTTTTTATATAATTTTAGGTACTTTCGTTGAGATTCTTTATGAAAAATAATATTATTTTACATAATTGTGAAAAACATTTTCAAATAAATCTAAGACCTCACAAGTTAGTACTTCTTTTTACTAGATTTGACTAAGAGAATGAAATAAATAAATTTATTTAAATATAAAATATAAAAAATATAGCAAACTAAATCTTAGTTTTTTTATATAAAAAATAAAAAATAAAAATCGACGACTCCTTTATTTATAGAGCAACTTTCACATATACCAAATACAAAAATCATATTTGTATGTTATAGCTATAGTTTGCATAATTGCGCTTCATAGCATCCTTTATGTTTGCTATGATTATTTCGCTATACATATATACAAAACAAACAATTGTATAATCTGTTTCGGTATACATATACAAAAGAATCAATTGTATAATATGTGTTTATATAAAGAGAAAAAGACAAAAGAAAACTGGTCAGGGGAAGATCGTATTTGTATAATCATAAGTGTATAGGACGAAAATATATGCATTTGTATTTGTATATACAATTTTCTCTCGCTTTATACAAACACAAACGCAATGTATACATTTGTGTTTGTATGAAGTGAGAAAGGCGAGTGACAGTGGCAAGCGAGATCTGGGAGAATGGCGAGCGAGATCTGGGAGAGTGGCGAGCGAGATCTGGGAGAGGGGAACGAAAATATATGTATATATACAATTTTATCTCGCTTTA